AAAGAATCTTAAAACACAAGTGACAGTAATTATAAATTTAACAATGAGAGGAACAATTACTAAGCACTAGAGTAAATCACTAGGTTTTAAACTGGTGCTGAAATGAAAACAAGGTTGGCTTCAAGTAAATATCAGTTTGAGGGCATTCCACTATCTGGGTGCCACTACAAAGAAGCACATACATACACACACACACCTTCTAAAGACAGTTCAGCCGGGCAGGCCCCCCTCTGCCCTCTTACAATCTGAGCGCTGATCCCTACTCATCAAGTTCATAGGGCAATTCATTCGTTCATATGGTTTTGAATACTTGTATTCCACTTTATAGCTCCCAGAGGTTTGCAAAAGCAGTTTACAAAAGGTTATCAAACTCAAATCTACCGCAAATCTTCCATCAAGGTGGTGTAGATCAGGTGGTCTCCCATCCAAGCACTGACGAGTTCTGGACCTGCTTCAATTCAACAAGGTGGTAGCTTCAAATACCTTTAATGTGGTTTCTATATGGACCCATTTGGGACCTCGGAACTGTTTATAAAAACAGTGGAAGAGCAGATCTCTCCCTCCACCTCAATTTATTGTCAAGACTCTTAAGTAAACTGGAGTTTATAGGAAGGCCCTTTATTATTGTTAGTAACTACCAACTCCCCGCTCTTTCCCAGGGGACCCTTGCAGATTTTATAAAAACGAAGAGGAGAAGAAAAAGAAATCAACTGCAAAGAAGCAGTAGACACAACAACCACAAACGTTTTCAGCGACGCCTCAGTCCTAATCGCTCGCAAATGAAGCAAAACCGTATTTGTTGGGGAATGTTGATCTCCGGTGGAAAGAGATCGGCAGCGCCCCCTTAGCCAGGAAAGGGGGACCGTCTCGCTTTGTGCTGGCTGTCCCGGATCAGACGTGACCGCAATTAACGAATCGTTGATCAAGAAGGCGAGCGCAAGATTGATCCCATATGGGATAAAGGAATGCGAAGAGCGCTATCTCTTCGATAGCTTAGGGGACGTCGGCGGGGCCCGGTTTTTGTTGCTGTTGTTTGTTTGTTTTGAGAAGGAGGGCTCGAGCAGAAGCTAGCAATTGGGAAGGTGTTAAATGACACCCCCCCGTCCCGACCTTCCTTTTCTTTTAATTACCTATTGCTTGGGATGGCTTAATTAACACCTTTTAGCTTCACGTCGCTTTGGGGCGTTTACAGGGTGGATCAGGAAGCTGTGTTCCCTCCCCTCAAAGTTGTCAGAGTCCATCTCTTATCGCCCGCTCCAAGCCAGCATGACCAATGGTCTCAGAGGTGATGGAAGCTGCTGGAGGCCGACAGGAGGCCCGCGATCTGGTTCAAAGCAAATTCCTCTTTTCCTCCATTATTTTTTTAAGGGGGAGCATGGACTTTTCCTTACTTACATATATAGTCCGCCTTTCCTCCCAGGAGCGCAAGGAGACCTACACGGTTCTTCTCTGCCATGTTATTCTCACAACAACCCTGTGAAGTAGGCTACCGCTGTGAGACAGCGACTGGAGCCAAGGACACGCCCACTGAGTGGGGATTTGAACCCTTGTCCTCCAAATGTTTTGGGCCACGGAGCCCATCATTTATGACCATTGGCTTCTGGGACCTGCCGCCCGAAACATCTGGAGGAAGATCCGACGTCTACTACATCTTGTGATGCAGGAACTCCGCTCAGCTTTCATGCTTGGCGCGCCAGCCCCGTTGCCTGAAACGGGTTTTTACTTCCAAGTAAACTTGCTATCATTAGGTGATCATTTGCTGGAGAGGAGCAGCACTGAGTGCAGAGGCATTTGTTTCATAGGAAACGTGCATAGGGCATGGCTGTAAATTAGCGGTCTGAGCAGGATCCAAGCAAAGTTCAGTCGCAATTCTTAGGTACAATTGTTAAGAGGTGTGCCCCAGTGAACAAAAATCCAAGTGTGAAGGCTGCGTTTAAATGACGTTTTGATAGAGAAGACAGAATGGCTGGATTTTGTAAAGGGGGAACGAATCCATCTTCTTCGCCCTGTGAAATAGACTCAACCCGCCTGCCACGGATGCTTTGTGGAAGAGCCTCCATATGCAAGAGCAGTATACCTCTCAATACCAGATGCTGGAGACCATCGCTTCCTTGAGACATCTGGCTGGACGCTGTTGGAGGCTGGACGCTGGAAGAGACGGGCACCTTAATCTAATACTAACGGATCTCTTGACATCTGGAGTGCGAACTTGAATAAAATATTGTGGGGGACCACGTAAGCCCCGCCCCGCATAATCGATCACATGACGCAATGCACACACACTATTTGAATGGCAATGCCCATCACTTTTGTGGAGGCCAGGCCCCCTCAAATATTTTATTCTGGGGGCCGAAGCCCCTACGGATCCTTGGAGTTGGCTCCTATGCTTGAGGTTAAAGTGAAAATGAATAGCTCAGTACCCCCCCCCCGCGAGATTCTCCCCCGCTCCCTTCCTCAAGTATAGCAAGGGACATAGGAGCCAACTCCTAGGGGCAGAGGTCACTTAGGGTCTCCCCAATAAAACATTTGGGGTGCGGCCCCCCAAAGGTGATGAGTGTTGCCATTCAAATGGTGTGTGCACACCGTGTCATTTGATCGATTATGTGGGGCGGGATTTACCTGGGCCTCCCAATATTTTATTCAGGTTGGCACCCCTGGCAAGGGTTGCTAAAGTTAGGGCTCTCCCGATGTTGTTGTTGTTTGGACTATGACTCCCATCAGTCCCAGCCAGCTGGCCAACGGTCAGGGCCCAGGGATGATGAGAGTTGTAGTCCAACGCCTGGGGACCCCAGTTTGAGAAACACTGGGCTAGGACCTGGGAGTTCAGATCCTCCCCTCGGCTATGAAGTTCAGTGGGTGACCTTGGGTCAACTCTCAGGCTAACTGACCTCACAGGGTTGTTGTGAGGATCATATGGAGGGGCGGGAGAGAACAATGTACGATACCCTGAGCTCCTTGGAGAAGAAGTGGGATATAAAATGCGATCAAATACATAATTATGTTAGGATTATGCCAATTCCCTCCCCTATTTGCCAAATGCCCACATTCATCCTTACAAAAAGTAAAACAAAGCAAAAAACCGACAGCCTAAATGTGTGGGGTTTGGGGGAGACGCTTAGGGGGAGCATCTAAAAAAACAACAACGAATGGACTCCCCACTACTGTTACCACCACCCATCCAAAGGCTCTTTTTAACGATTGCAGATGCAGGCAGGAATCCAACAGGTATATCTTTCATCTCAGCAGAGAGATGTTAACTAAGCAATTGGGAAATAATGAGTTCTCTGTGGAAATCCCACCAGCTGTTAAAAGCAGAGGAGCCCTGCGGGAAACAGACCCACAGAGGACGGCAACCCCTATAGAAACTGTGCCGCGCGAGGAGGGAGGAGGACGGTAAAGAGAAAGGCTTTTCTCTCTTTGTCCCTCTCTCTCTTCCTCCTTCCAGGGAGGAGAAGGCCTTAATATTTGAGCAAGTGCTTTAATAAGAGGAGCAAAACGAGAGTATTTTCGAGCATGCACAGAATGCACTTCATTCATGCACCTCTCCTCATGTCTAGAACTGGGGTGCGAAAGGTGCGGGACCCGTCCCCGCCCCAGACCAGGTATGTAGAAGTAGCAGTATATAATATGATTACAGTTGTCAAAAACAAATGAAGTCCTTAAAGTGGGAGGGGTGGAGGAATAAAAGTGGCTTCTTATTTAGTCCCGGGATAACAGATCAAGAAGCAAAGATCTTGGCTTTTGACAGATCTCAGGCGGAAGACACGTGTCGGCGTGAGCTAGTGGCTCTGCCCGGGCTGATTTTCCTTTTCTTGGCAGAGCCCGTGGCCGAGAACCGGGGCGGCCTCCTCTTCTCCCCGCCTCGGTGGCTCGCTTCCCTAAAATTTGCAGCTTGTGGAAGTTTTCTACAAACGCTTATCCCGTCAACACGCAGACATGACTCTGCCACCTTGCACGCCAGGCGATCGTTACCTTTGGCCCTCTGGTTGTTGCGGAATTACAACCACCACCCATATCCATCGGTCAGTCTCTCTGAGGTTGATGGGAGTTGTAGTTCATCAACATCCGGAGAGTCGAAGGCTCCCCGCGTCTGCTTCACACGTTCCATCTTGCCCCTCCATGCATCTTCTCCACGTGCAACTGGGATTGCGGATTTTCCCCTGCTGCATTTTCCCACCCTCCACTCTCGCCTCGCCACCAGCCGCCCTTGCCGGCCTTCTGAGATTTCCTTCCTCCCTTTGCTCCCCGATTCACACAACCTCTAGGTACTGGCTTGTCCATTCCCTGCGCTCCCCCATTCATTTTTCACCACTACAATGCTCCCACCACCTCCTCTCCCACACCACACTTGCCACAATCAAAGAGGGGTGCTGGTGTCCCCTTTTGATCTGGGAATGGGGAGAGACAGACGGGAACTGTAGTTTCGCCGCCCAACCGTTTTTCTTCCACCTTTGCTTCTGCTAGAAGCGTCCCACCAGGCCAGCTGCCCCTCTCTTCCCCCGGGCCCGTGAACCGAGGAAGGGAGAGGAGGGAGGTCGCTCAAAGTCCCAAGCCCTGCACAACACGTGTCTCTTTTCCTTATTAAAAGGCTCGACCTGTATTGAATAATGCTGTTTATAAAAATTATCACCACCACCCTTTCTTGAGGAAACCAAGCAGGGTAGGAAACGTAGTGGGGATTTCAGAACCCAGGAGGTTTGTTTCAACCTAGCTGCTCCGGAGATTATCCGGGAGAAGAAGGGACCGTGGCTCAATTGGTAGAGCATCTGCTGGGCATGCAGAGGGTCCCAGGTTCAATCCCCGGCGTCGCCAGGAAGGGGCGGGGGAAAAACTCATTGTCTGAGAGCCTGGGAGAACCGCTAGCTACCTGTCGGCGTTGGCAATGAAACAGAGAGGCTGGGGTTGCAAACAGGCACACAGGCGGGCTGTGGATCGCTCCCATGAATGAAGAAGTTGAGGATCACAATGGGTGCGTGTGTCTAAAATCACATTGTTAAAAATTCGTGCACGATTTAATTTTAATATACCTCACCCATGATGACACACACACACACTTTTGACATATATAAAGTACACGTGCAGGCTTGCAAATATTCACACACACACCTTCTCGCGTTGCAGTTTTTGTTATTTTTAAGCAATTAAGGAGGCTTTTTTGAGAGGAAAGGTTGAGTGGAAAGGAAGGGGTTAATCATCATACCACCGCCCGCCGGTCTTCCTCCTCCAGCTGACTGCTTTTCACTAAAGGAAGGACGAGGGAAGCCGTAGCAGGGAGGCTATTACGCGCATCTCTCGGGTACAGCGCCCCACCAGTACCTCTCCGCACCCCGCTTGCAATGCAAGCTGGCCAACTCTTTTCCTCACGCGTCTGTTGTATATTGGTTTTACACGCCACTGAAAGGCGCCTGTAGTCAAGCTAAGGACGGCTGAACTCCGGTCAGGGCCCTTTCCAGGGTTCAAAGCGCCCCCGCCGATCCGTACGACAGTCCTGCAACGCAGGACAGTGAGATGACGGCTGTAAGAGGGGAAACATAGAATATCTGGAGATTTGAAGGAAGGGCGCGTGTGCGCCTGGACTATGGTATCGACAGTACCTCCAGGCTTCACACGTGTGTGTGTGTTTAACCCTCTAAGATTTCTTTAGGGAACTCCAGCTTGAACGAGCTGAGGTCCCAATCCCAGTCTGATGCCAAGAAACCTTGTGCTTTTTCTTCCTTGGGGAGACTGTCCCTTCTCGATATTGGAAGAGGAGGCAAAGATTACTCGCGAGTAAATTGCACCGAGGAGTGAGGTTTTCGACCATTTCTCCCTTCCGGTTCCCCTTGGTCTCTAACCGACTTTTCCCGTCCTAGCTCTGCCAAATCACCGCCACCCTAAACCTATGGAAGATACCAAGTTATTGAAAATAATATAGAACAAAACAGCAAGTAAAACGGCGAGCTGGCGTTTTCTCGTGAGGGTGCTTCTCTGTCTCTTTCTCTCTCTCCTCCCCCTCTCCCTCCCTCCCATATTTAATAATGATAATGATAACAATATCGAAACTCAGTTGAATATTGGGATATCCACCCATCACACGGCACTTCTAAAACTCCAAGAGGAAAAGTTTTAAAAATATTGGAGATGGGATACAGAGAAGACTGCATTAGATTAGCAGATAGGGAAAGCTATCAAGAGGAGCGTAATACGATTAGAGATGTTTCTTCGAGATTGCTCGCTATTGATTCCGAGAATTTTAATTCTGACTCTTGCTATTGGATATAATCCGCGTTTATTACAAGACGGGAGAGGTTTACGAGAGGAAGCTATCAAGGTCGATTTCTCGAACTGTTTAATCCGACATGCACTTCATTTTAAATAATAATAATAATAAAAATAATAATAAAGAAGAGGAATAGAGTTATAAAATTAAACCCAGACGGGACTGGAAGCTGGGGGGAGGAAGGGGACAATGGGCGATTATCTGAGAGCACTCAAGATATATTGTGGAAGAAGTAATATACCCAGCGGGATCCGGGAAACGGAGGAGAAATTGCGATGCCACGTTAACCGTAACTTTGAGACGCTTAGAAACTTTTTCTTTTGTGTGTGTGTGGAGGGGATATTCCACAAAGTGAAAACTCATGTCCCCAGGTGAGTTCTGAGCAGAACTTTATCTGCCAGACTTACTTCCCTGTAAAGGTGCGTAGGGGCTCCTAAGCAGATGGCCAAATCTATAAATAGGTCCTGTGATGCATCTGATGGACTGTAGCCCACTAAAGGCTGACGCCAATGTTGCTAGCCCTGAAAGTGTCGCAAGACGCTTTGCTGATGTGTACGCGCGTGCACCGAGGCGACCATGTCCATGCAGACGTGCATGTGCGTGCATGCTAAACTATGCGTAAATTAGGGCATGACCGTAAACCGAAGGCTGGAAAAGGCTGCCAAACGACATACGCATAATAACATATAAGAAATCTACACTACGGTAAAATGTGTGTGAGAGTGAGTGAGAATATGAAAAGGTTAGTAGAGTCTCATGAACAGCAAAATAAGTCTCTCAAGAGAAGAAGCAATTTTGCCATCTCTGGGGGGTGAGGGTAAATTAAGTCAGTGCGGTTGCAATATTTACATGTGGGACTAAGCCCCGCTGAGCTTACTTCTGAGTAAATACGTGCAAGTTCGCCCTGCACATGTCAATTAAATGCCCGTGCATTTGCAAAAGAAAAATGATGACGTGGTGGTGGCAATTTTCGGAACAATGTCCGATTATAACATCCAGCAATAATTGAACCAAAAGGGGGGTCTTTCTCCCTAAAAGTTCTCCCCTCTCTCATGCCCACAAACCCTCTTTCCCTCCTGCGATTTTCTTACAGTTTTGTCTGGTTCAGGTACTCAGGGAAGTGGTACCTCGCCCTTCCTTTGCGCGCACCGCTAAAGAACCCAGGGACCGAGCAAAACGATCATAAATTTCCTAATTAGAGTTTTAGCACCAAGACAAAAAGCCCTTAATGAGTTCCATTCAGATGCCTGTCATTGTCTCCTTGTCTGCATGTGTGGTGTCTCCCAACCACCGGCCCCCACCCCATTTTTTCACACCGCTTATTTACCAACGGCCCACGGGGCTGCCCCTACGTCTCCTTTGTTAAAATTTTAATTTGCCTTCTTTTCTCGCCTTTGATGTCAAAATTCTGACCTACAAGCCTTTGAAGTTTCTTATTAGGAGGGAAATTAACTTCGCTAACTCCCCCGTCTCACTTTATTTTCCCCCTCCTTTTTCTCTCTCCACCTTTACTGTATTTTGACCTACTGTGTTAAAGAAACTACTTCAAAATTCGGTGCGAAAAGAGAAATTCACGGTGGGTAGGGGGCGGTTCGCGAAAGAAAGAGAGTGAAAGCAGACTTTTAAATCTATATTAGTGTCCAGTCCAACAGCTCCAGGCATGAATAGGTTAATTTGCGCGAGGGAGGGGGGAGTCGAGGGAGTTTGGGAGATTAATTTTGTGCAGATAATCAGCAAAATAATAAAAACAACAACAAGAACAATAATGAAGGGTGCGTGCCACAATTCTGCACGGATCCCTGTCTTAACTCTAGTTGATACATTTTGCTCTGAAGGGAGATTATTTTAATAATGGTAATAATAACAATAATAGCAATAATATTTATTATAATTATGTTTTAAGCAACAACTCTCCTGGACTGAGTTAAATCTTTATACAAACCCCGGACTGATTGCCAATGGCTTCCACCAGATTTGAAAAGCACTCAAATAAAAGACGGCGACGTCAGTAAATGGAAGGCGTGAGTGGCGGGGGGAGGGAGTGAGAAAAGAGCCCGAGTGAGAAACCGAGAGCGAGCGAGCGAGAGAGAGACTGACTTAAAAGAAAGAGGAGGAGCTTCGAGAGAGAGACTCCGGCTGTCAATCAAAGGCGGGAGTTCCAATAATCTCCAGCAATCTGTTAGGACCTGACCTGGAGTCCACTCAGATCAATAGGAAAAGTGAAGGGAGAAAGAGACGGAGGATCGTTACGCAGCAGCGGCTGGAGGAGGAGGAAGAAGAAGACGAAGAAGAGGAAGAGGAGGAGGCGGCGGCGGCAGCAGCAACAGCGGCAGCCCCCCCCCGGCCTCGCCTGGTCTCCCCACCCCGCTAACCCACCCGGCACCGCCAATGCCTGGCAGACTTTCTGAGACGCACTAAAAAAGTGCAGGCGAGGCGAGCAAAGGGCGAACGACCGGGCTCCTTTTCTTCGCTTCTGCGCCTCTCTCTCTCTCTCTTTCCTTCCTTCCTCGCGCTCTCTCCTTTCGCTTCTCTTTCCTTTCCTCCCCCTCCCTCTTTCCCCTCCCCTCTTTCCTTCCCCCCTTCCTTCCCCTCTTCCCCCCCTCCTCGCCTCTCCACCCCCCCACCCCAACCACACACCACCCCGCCATGGCATTTTCCCAGTTGGGATACCAGTATATCCGGCCGCTCTACCCGTCGGATCGCCAAGGGAACAGCAGCTCCCGAAGCGGGGCAGACCTCAGCCCGACGGGGACGCTCTCCAACGTGCTCTCCTCCATGTACGGAGCGCCGTACGCGGCAGCCGCGGCTGCTCAGGGATACGGAGCCTTCCTCCCCTACACTGCCGAGCTACCCATCTTCCCGCAGCTGGTAAGGAGACGAGTCCACAGATTCCGCTCTTCTTTCTTTCTCTCTTTCTCTTTCTCGCTCTCTGACACCCACACCCCAACTCCAGATTTCCCCCTTTAAAAACCCGCAGTCCTCCTTTCTCCCCCTTTCTTTCTCTTTTTGGAATCTTCAGCTTTTCTTTCTCTTCCAACTCCGCCTGCGATGTGACTTTGCACAGCTGCGGGCGTAAAGCGAAGACGCAGGAAAAGGTGCAATTGGCTGGCGGTGGTTTGCAAGTGACCAGCTCGGTCTCCTGGTTCCCCCCTCCCCTCTCGATCTGGGCCCGGGGGTGCGCTAGGGGGCCGAGCAGGCGAGGGGTTAAAAATCTCTCTTCGGCAGATTGAGAAGAGCATGCAAAAAACTCCTGCCTCTGCTTTATTTTTTTATTAAAAAAAAAACTCGCAGAGTTTGGGACACAGTTCGTCCCCCCCCCCCGTGACTTTTTAAATTTTTATTTATTTATTTATTTATTTATATTTTTAAAAAGAGGCACCCGGATCCTTAAACCACTGCTTAGTCGGAAGTAATGGGCCGTATTAATTTCAATGCAGCTTTCAAATAATTCCGGGTGTGTGGAGAACTGAACTGAACCAAGGGCAGCGGGTGGGGGGGGGAGAGAGAGAGAATCACCTCCGTGAGTTCCTTTGATCGTCTTTTCTCAACGTAAGAACAGTCCCATATTGTGCCTTTTCCTTGTGAATAACACGCACTGGATGAGACGGGGGGGGGGAGAGTCGGAATCCCGCTTTGAAAATCAGTAATCATGTTACTATTAATAAGCCTTGGAAGCAAAATGATCTGCTGTGGGGATCCAAACCTAGCAGAAAATAAAGTGTTCGGGTTTTTCATAATACAAGGGAGCCTGATTTCAACAGAGAGTTGTAGGAAGGAGTTACTGAGTCCTTTTGTTGTCCATATATCTTCGAGAGTTTGAATATAGTTTCAGCGCCATTCCTAGGCCCGTGTTTCCCCAAGGAAAGTTGAAAAAGGGGAAATCTAACAATTCCCCCAATACGGACACCCATCAAAACCCTTGGACACAAATGGGCGCTGGTATTCTCTCTCTCTCTCTCTCTCTCTCTCTCTCTCTCCTCCTTTCCGTGAGGGGTTGATTGACAGTTCCATCTAGCGCGCGGAGGAATCGTCAGGCAGAAGGGTGTTTTGTTTTTTTATTTAAAGGGGGTTTAGCAGCAACACCTCCGTTGTGCAAGTTGCGGGGCGGGGGAGAGGAGAGACACGCAGAAACTTCGAGCAGAGATTTTTGTCAAGTTAAGCATGAGCGTTTCTTTAAAGCAAAAACAAAATCCAACTTCTGCAAAGTTGCAAGCGGTGAATTAAAAACAACAACAGCCCCTGATCTGTTATGTTTTCTCTCAAGGAAACCATGGGAGATTTAATAGGATCTCCCATTAAATGCACGGCATATGCTGTGCATCCCTCTCGTCTCCCCACACCACGTCTCATTTGGGGTTGTGTGTGTGTGTGAATATATACGTAAACCTATTTTACTTCTGTCATATATGTGATAACGTCCAGCTACTTTTCGAGATTGTGTTTCCCGAGTTCTGGAGGCCAGGGCTGCATGCGAATGACCCAAGAAGTTTAAAAAACGTGAGCGAGGTGCGCGCGTGTGTGCGCGTTCAACTCGCTATTGAAAATACTTTTCAAAAAGGACTGAGCGAGAAACTTGGCTGGGACACCTCTAGAACTCTGTGGATTTAGGAAACAACAGCCAGCCTCCCAACCGCCCCCCGCATACACATCAATCCCCTTTATAACTTTTGAAACGAGAAATTATTATGAAACTGCAGGCGGAATCGCACTTCTCCATATATATATATCGAACTTAAAAGGGCAAGCTTCCGAGTCTCACAGCGCTCTTCGTCACCCGGCAGAATGACAGCCGCGCAGCCCTTGATTCATTTGATCCCGTCGAATATTTTGCTCGACTTATCTTCCACCCCTTTGGGAGTCAAGAGGGCTACTGAACCGGTGTGGGGGCTCTCTCCTCCTTGAAAAAGCCCATTTCCATGGCTAACCGTTAGTTGCTCTGTGTAACGCCCCCCTCCCCATTTTTTCTGTCCTTCTCCAGGGAGCCCAGTATGAGCTGAAGGAGGGCCCCGGCGTCCAGCACCCGGCTTTTCCCCACCACCACCCGGCTTTCTACCCCTATGGGCAGTACCAGTTTGGCGACCCGTCGAGGCCCAAGAACGCCACGCGCGAGAGCACCAGCACCCTCAAGGCCTGGCTGAACGAGCACCGGAAAAACCCTTACCCCACCAAAGGCGAGAAGATCATGCTGGCCATCATCACCAAGATGACCCTCACGCAGGTCTCCACCTGGTTCGCCAACGCCCGGCGGCGCCTCAAAAAGGAGAATAAAATGACCTGGGCTCCGCGGAGCCGAACCGACGAGGAGGGCAACTCTTACGGCAGCGAGCACGACGAAGAGGACGGCGAAGGCGACAAGCGGGACCCCGACGACGAGGAGATCGACCTGGAGAACATCGACACCGAGAATATGGAGAGCGCGGCGCCAGGGGCCAAAGCGGGGCAGCTTCTCCTGGAAGGGGAGGACGACGAGGAGGAGGACGAGGAGGAGGAGGAAGAGGACGATGAACCGCCGGATGATTCGGTGCTCCTCCATTCCGACGCCAAAACCACCGACTCGGAGGGCTCCGACGGCTTCGAGGACCTGCCGGGAGCTCAGGAGCGCTTCTTGAAGGCTATGGAGGCCCGTCAGCGCGCCTCGTCGGGCGAGCTGCCTTCGCCAGCGGCTCTCCAGCAGCAGCAGCTGCAGCAACAGCGCCATCCTTCCTCCCCAGCGTCCCCCCCAACGGCTCCAAGCCCCGCTTTGGCACCGCAAGCGCAGCCTCCCAAGCCCAAGATCTGGTCCTTAGCAGAGACGGCTACCAGCCCGGATAACCCGTCGCGGAAATCTCCCCCCAGCGGAGGTTCCCCCCCTGCGGCAGCGGCCACCCCCCAGAGCCTCCAGCTCGTGGGAGCCCCCGCACCGCCGCAGCCTCCTCCGACGGCCCCGGGCCCCGCGCACAGACTGGTCGCCTCTTGCCCTCTGGGCAAATTCGCTAACTGGTCCAGCCGGGCCTTCTCGGCCCACCCCCATCACCACCACCACCACCACCATCCCCACCCGCTCACTTTACTGAACACTCCCCACCTGCTGGGACTCGGGGGGGCGAACCCCAGCGCGGCCCCCAGCGCGGCGGCTATCGCGGCTTTCTCCAGACCCGCAGACCAAGCGCAGAGCGCGGAGTCCTCCGGAACAGGTAACCCACTCGATGGGAGGGAGGCGTATACCTGAGAGGGGGGAAAGGCAAGTTGGGGGGGGGGAGGAAAACAACTTGGCTGCAACCCTAAGATCCATGGGACTTACGTGGGGGAGATAAGTTTGAACTAGGGTGGGTTTGTATGCGAGGCTGCGCGTTTATTCCCTGAGACTTATGTGGCATTCAGTTAAGTTTCCTTAGACAACACTGAAATGAACCTGAAGAAATTGGAGTCCATTCATTTCAGTGGGTCTACTCTGATTAAAACTAAGCTGGCTACCACTAAAACAACTTATAAGAACGCAAATGGTAGAAGGGAGGGGGACTTAGAAGGAATCTCCAGAATAGAGTAGGTGGAATAAAAAACGACGAAAGCGGGAGGTATTCCTCGAGGGTTTGAAGCCCAAAGAAGCAATTCATTATGACGGGGAAAGACAGTCAGACTCTCACTGCTCCCTTTTCTGGACTCTCTATATCTCTTTTCCCAAAAGAGGTCCAGGCTTTCTTAGTTGGCCTAAAGATTCAGTTTATATTTCGGACAGAAACATTGGTGGGATCTCTCCACAGCCCACGAACATGCAAGATCATGCTGGAACAGTTTCTGTCTCCTATTCTATCGACTTCAGTGCCAGGCTCCCAATTTAGAATCACATAGTAATAAATAAATCAGAAGGCCTTTACCTGGGGCCTTTTCTTTTTAAAACAACAACTTCCACCAATATTGCCTTCAAAACTGGGGGAGCTTTTTTAAAAAAAATTGCATTCTCCCAGTTAGGGATACCCTAGTTGCTGTGGTCAGAATTGGTGCTCTCTGTATTGATGGTATCATCTGCCTATTTTAAAAAGCACATTTAACACCCCCCCACAAAAAACCCCTCTCTTATATTTGCTAGGAAAGAAATCCCCAAACTGAAATCAAAGGTGTGGGTCTTTGGTCTGTTTGTTTTTTTACTTCCATGTAAAATGGGTTTGGCAATCCAGGTGTTCTGTGACCTTAAGCACACACTCTGAAGCGATCAAGCAAATCCCACTAAAATTAAGCATTTTTATTTTAATACTGGACGTGGTTAGGATCTGGGTTCTCTTTAACAGGTTTTCATTTTTTTCATTTTTAAAATAAGAATGTACTGAGCTAAGTTGCTAAGAGTGACATGAATTCAGGAACCTTAGAGAAGCAAATCCAAGGTGTTTTTTTTTAAAAAAAAGGAACTTTTTTTTTCTTTGTTTGCTTTTGTTTGTTTTAGATCGATCTAGTGCCTTGGAAGTAGAGAAAAAGTTAATAAAGACAGCTTTTCAACCAGTTCAGAGGCGGTAAGAGATTATCTATGTCCTAGAGGGTACATTAAAAAGGGAGAGGAATTTGCTTGTAGAC